CATACACATCTATTCTTGCATGTTACAGCTTTCAAAAATACATGCAAAACTTAAATCAGTCTTTTACACGCAAATACGATTTGCTGAGGAGAGACTTGATTCCAGCAGTGACACAGCTTTTCCAATTTCGCTAACTTTTACACTCCAAAAAGATCAGAATTCCATATGCTCATGCACTTCCTTGCTTTAAAATGATTCTGGGTGAAAACGTTAATTTTAAACACAGAAATCTAAGGCCTGAATCTTCTGTCAATTGCACTGATTTGTTCTGCTTGGTTATTCTCAATTTCTGTCAGCATAAATATGAAGGAGGAGGGAGCCACCTGTTTGACAACTGCACGTAGGATTCGTTTTTGTCAGGTTTTTTCTTTCCTTTTTGATGAATTAAGTAGCAGACTGAATTGGTGCACACCCATTTCCAGAGAGCTCTCCTGACACACAGCATCTATTGGCCTTGCCTGCATCTCTTCCTACAACTCTTTAAGAAATTCCTTTTTCTTTGTGGATATGTATTTGAGAAATTAGAAGGTGCGCATTTTGATTTCTCCAGTTTTCTTATGGAATAAGATTTGGAAATCTGTATTAGAAATTATTTCTTCTCAAAATCAGTCCAGACAGGCTGCTTTCATAAGCTATCCACCTAAATAGCCTGCAGCACCTTTTTATAACCATGCTCTAACCTACATGTCAGTCTCAGAATCCCAGGACACATTTTGCCCAGAGAACCACACACTACTGTAACAGCTATGGCCTTGTTTCAGTATCACTGTGGCTAAAATCCTTCTCTCCTTATTGCTCAGAAAAATTAAATACATTTCTTGATGGCTGTAGAATTCAGCCTTCTCAAACAATACTACCATCTATCGTGCTTCAAGGTTCAAATATTCAACAATAGTTCTCAGACAAGTTGTGGTAGCCAACCCAGGGTCAGGCCAAAGTTAGCTGAAGTTTCACAAGTAAGAACACAAAAGAATTCAACGTCTAAAATTATGGTCACAAGTAATCACTTTCACTGATACTTACTGACTGTGACTATGAAGTGAAACTCTCCAAATGAGGCTTAGAGTAGCTGTACACATAAACGTTTGCAAATTTGGCCCTAACCTGTCAAGTAACAACATTCAACCTCAAATCCCTATGCAGTAAGTCACACTTAAGCACAGTGGTCATCATCTTATTTAACACTGTGCTTTCTTCATATACATGGACAGCTTTTCACAATGCCAAATGGATTCACTTCACTATCTGCAATGCAGAACAGCATCTTCAGCACCAATTTTCATGTGTGTCACAGGGCATTGCTTCTGCCACATCCAACTTCAGCTACTTAGCAGAAGCACGCAATTCTGCCAAAAAAGCCTCTTCCCAAAAGAGCAGAATTCCCCCTGACCAGCAAAGCCAAATCAAGCTTGGAGATCTGATCAACAAGAATGTAGAAAGCTTTTCTATACTGGTGAATTACTTTATTGTTTACTAGTTCGCTCAGTGCAAGATTTCCATACACTGAGATGGATTTCAAGAGTACGGATTTTCATGAGACATGACACAAATACCTTGAGATTTTGGTTTTGCCTCCAAAATGCAAGACGACTAGCTGCCATTCCTAAGGTTAAAAAGGCAAATAAAGTATGTATCTACACACACATGCCTCTCCCTTAAAAGCTCAGTTATGCATCCACACCAGCTTTGTACCAATGACAATTCACAGCACTCATAATCTGATATTAAATTCCCATAATAATGAAGCACCCATCTGGGAAAAGAAAAAAAAAAATCAAAATCTAGGTGCAAGGATCCTCTGAGTACCAGCTGCAGTGTCTCTGTGCCTACCACTGACAATAAAGATTACAGGGGACAAATCAGCTTATAACACCCGTAATTCTTTCTTCTCTCTGCTCTCTCAGTGTAGACAGCTGGAACATCCCTGTGCTAAAAGGCTCTTTCAGATAAAATAGCTGTTTGGTTCAGAACAAGGAGAAAATAATCGGTGTTCAGCAACGTGTCTTCTGAAACACGCGCTCGTGCATGCACACACACAGAGCTCGGAGCTCTTCACTCAGAGCTCTGAAATCCCTCTTCAAATACAGACAGGTTGCTAAAACCCAGCTCCGAAGTGCAGATATGAGCTGATTTCAGCCTGGGCTGATTTCAGGCTGGGCATGAGCTGGCATTGTGACATCAGACAACATATAGTCAGGCTTTGTGCCTCAGCTTACCTGTAAATTTTAAACACTCATGTGTTGATTTACCTTTCTGCGTCACTTATTTCTTTACTCTTCTGTGGATTGCTTCTTGATTGTCATATATAGAACCCTCTACACCAGTCAAGTAGTTATTACTGTAAGCCTAGCTGTACAGGAACAGGGAAAAATCTTACATTTTTGCATATCTCATGTTTCAGACTTCGAAAAGGCTCTGAACTGCATACACATCTTATTAATACAGGCGACAAATGAGCGAAATTTTTTCCCTGGAATGTACTTAAGATTTGGTTGTTTTTAAAAACGAACAGGAAAAAAAAAAAAACAACACCCCAAAACCCCCCAACCTACCATAGGACATCCTTTCAAATTAAACCAGAAAGAACATCTGCATCTCTTTTTCTGCACAGTGGCTGTAGCATACTTACAAAGCCAAGGACTCACTCCTGGCTGTAAGCATGTTTCTGAAAGAACAGGAAGTCCACAGTCAATTCCACACATTCTAGAGACAGAAGGATCCATCAAGTCACTTCACCAGACTTTCTGGATAAACCACATCAAATAAGTTTCATCCTGCTATACCTGATCAACCAAAGAGAAATTTGACTTTCATAAAAACATTATTCCAATATCCATCTCAATTAAGAACTGCCTAATTTAAATGCACAGTTGCTGTGTTCTAGGCGAGGCCAGAATTTTGTGCCAAGTTTTTAAACTCCATTTTATTTTGAAGACTTTTCTTCCTCTGTTTGATTAAGGCTGTTGCCTACTGCGGGGAGGAGGGGGCAATTACAAAAAAAATAAAATCTAACTCCGATGTAAACAGCTTGTCTTTCAACTTTAAAGTTGTCATGAATTTTACAGCTACAGCAGGCAATTTACAGAAAGGAAAATGGAAAGTAAGTGGTTCAACACCAGATAAAGTCACTATCATTGTCAGAGCAACTGGCAGATAAATTGGAGTTGAGGCACTGATTCAAACCTGTACTTTGAATAATACACAGTAATAATCTGGTTAGTATTAATTATGCCTCTGTAAAAACAGCTTGTTTAGCTGCAAATTCAGCCCCACAGAAATAAATCTGTGAGTTACCAGTGAAGTTGCTTCAGAGCTTCCAAGGCACTCAGAGCACAGAGCTGATCCTCTCACAAAAAGCAGTTTCGTTTTCCCAGTCTGCCTCCTACCCTCCACATTTTTAAAGCAACTAAAAAGCTCCCGATGTAACAACTCCTTCATGCTGAATTTCAACTCAAGCTTATGCCAGCATGAAAACACAAGAGCTGGACACCAATCATTCCTGTAACAATTCCACCCACAAAGAAAATTAAAAGATGCTGAGATATTAAGTTCACTGTAAGACAGCAGACATTTAATGCCGAATACTGCCTTAAAAATACCAACTGCCATTCGCAATACCACCATGCATCTGCAGACACCACATCAGCACACAGCAACGAGACTGAAGCCAATGCACTCCTATAAAACAAAACTAATTTGCTCAGAAACAGGCCTCATTCAAGAAGAACAGAATGCTACGAAGGGAGATTTTTCCCTCTGTACCATAAATATCAACAGAGGGAGAAACTAAGTGACAATCCCAGCCATGCAAATGTTTTTGCACTTAGACATCAGCAGAACGTCTGCAGAGTGTGCTGTTAATGAAGCAACCAAACTAAAAAGAACATCCAAACCCAAGCCAAGTTTCCCATAGGACAGTTGAGTTTTCTACTTTGGATCTGGTTTACTTTAAACTAGAAAAGAAGTCTCAACAAATATTTGGGGAGAGGGGAATCCCTTTTCTTTTCATAGAATCATAGAATTGTTTGGGTCGTAAGAGATCTTTACAGATCATCTAGTCCAACCCCTCCTGCCATGGGCAGCGACATCTTTCACTTGATCAGGTTGCTCAAAGCCATAGGGATTGCTCTGCATTTAATGAATCCAGTTTGCTACAACAGCCAAAGGACATTCAACAAGTTTATTCCGTCATCCTTCACTCCTGATTTCCAGATAACATGAGGACATAAAGGACAGCTCAGTCTGACCTTAACAGCCTACACCATGAAAGATCCTACAGTTGGATTTCACAGTAGTAGCAGAATTAATCCTCCCTTGCTGGTTATTCTCTTCGGAAAAGCAAACGAAACCTGTCAGAAAAGCATTAGGTTTGGCTCTTACAAACAGAAACAAAAACTCCATCTCCCACTGTAGGCGGGAGGTTGTATGTGCACACAACCTCCAAACTTTACTCCCACTTCAGAACAAAACTTGGCATGCTGAAGAGCATGCCGAGATTCAGGATCTCATCAGATGTTGTAAGGAGCACTGTGCAGATGTTGCTGCTTCTTGAACAAGCACAGGTCCCAACCACTTCAGTGAAAGTTTTGCCAGAGTGGAAGACCTAGGACATTGGTTTTAAAAGTTGGCCATCAGCAACACAGACACTCATGGCCTTCACGAGGAACTGTGAATAGGAGCACTCTAACTGTAACATCACATGCTACCTGACCTGTAAACAAGCTGGGCCCAAACAACCCTGTGTGAAGCTCTGCACTGTTGTAGTCATCCTGCTTCTGATGCCAAACCCAGTTCACGGCAGCTCACTTATCCACCCAGCACTTTGCTCATCTCCTGTAAATTTAGGCCCATTCACAAATCCTTGGGAGGCGATCTGATGGGGTTTATCCAGATCTCACTCTAATGAGGACCATGTTGTCAGTTCATCCTCAAAGAAGCTTAGCTACATGGGGCAAAACTGAGGAAAGAATGAGGAGGGGAGGACAAAAACATGTACTGACCTCGCGCATCAAAGAATTCATCATCGGAGCTCTCCACGGAGTCTTTGAGGACGTTCTGCATGTGCCACTGAGCACCACTGAACCGGCGTGGGCCAGCTGGAAACAGAGAGAGACTCACATTAACCCAAGGGAACGCTCACCTCTGCTCCAGGCTTAAAAAAAAATACATTAATAAATGTGGAAGGATTCCTAAAACTCCACAGACACATGAACAATCCAGCCTTCTCTGAGAGCCCCTGCTGGGACGTAATGGAACTGCGGAAGGCGTGCACGGTCCTCGATGCGAATGGGAAACAGAAGCCATTTCCCCAGAATGACGCTGCTTCTTTCCCTCCGTTTTCTGCTGAGGATCATGGATAACCTTATATGGACATGAACTGCAAAACAACCAATCATATACGAGGGGCTGAGCTATTGCTCGTATTGTAGCCAATCACAAACAGCCAAGCCTTGTTCAGAAAGCTACAAACGGCGTTCAGCGTGAGCCATTAACGGTGCACGCGTTTGGTCGCGTCGAGTGTCCTCGCTCTTCTCCCGCAAACAAACGGTTTGTGTAGATGGTTCGGGAGGATCGTTGTGGTCAGCCCGCGTACTTTAACCTCCACAGACAGGCAGCCAGAGTTCTCAGGGTGGCACAAAAGGTCCCACCTAACAGAAGTGATTAAAACAACTTCTTGATAAAGACACGCTTGCATAACTTTCAGTTAATGGAGTGACCTGAAAAGATAAATTCACCCCTGTTGAATTCAGCAGGCTGTTCAATTCCAACACTCGAACTGTACATTGTTTCTAACACACAAAGCAGCATTTCCCCAGGACATGGCAGTAGCTCCCATTTAAATTCAATTTCACTTCTGAAAGAGGTGCCATCCTGTTTGGCTCACAGATTTACAGACAAGTTCGGAATTCTCACTCACTGAGCTGCTTTCATCAGACAGCTTTGTTTTGCTGGAGCCTGAGGCTTTCATTTGAAGCTTGCCATTTGAAGACAGGAGGGCAAAACCACCTTGGAATAGGTATAGCAACAGATACAGTAATGACAGCTTAGATGGTCCCAATGGATTAACATACTCAAACTAATTTGCAATTAGTAAACCAGACCTGCATAACTACATCAATTCTCCTTACACCTACCACAACCCAACACTAGAAAGCAGCAGTGAAATATATTACTTATATTAACAATAATGTCTCCTCCAAGTCAGTGGGGAACCAGAGATAAAAAATCCACATCTGTAACAACACTACAGCTATTGTAGAAAGGATCCTTAGTACCAACCAGAACAGTGTCCTTGGTTTTATCCATTTCTCTAAACAATGACATCAGACCTGCAATCTAATATCTTGAGGCCCTGTCCACAAACACATTCTCCTTCCTCCAGTAGTAAAAGAGCAACTCAAGCAGCAGAAGTATCCTTCTACATTATTCTGAAGGAAACACTAGGTCACTGCCTTTTCTTCTACTTTTACTCCATCTATAGCTGAACTAATCAGAAATATAAATGAAAGGTGATAGGAGGAAGAAGATTCTAGCGGGCCAAGAAGAGAGTAAAAATAATAATCAGTTAATAGCATTTTAATAGCTTTAAAAAAACCCAACCATATTCAAAATAATTGGTTATTAAGGAGTCAGTGTTCAATAGAAGAGTACAGTGTGTAATGGGAATGTGTCCAGTGATATTTGGCGGCTACCAGAGAATGCATACAGATCATTACATTTACTGTTACAGATTTCTGGAACCTTTTACTAACAATAGGGAATCGCAAACTGAATTATTCCTTACCAAACAACACCTTGCGGTCCCCCCATTCAAATATATCCATTCCAAAACTTATCACTATAGTATCAAAGCAGTGGTAGAAAGAACACTGTTCTGAACTTCTAACGAAGAGAAGTCTGCATTCGGTCAGCACCTGGAAGGGCAGGAATTCCAAAACTTCAAAGCACAAGAACGGGAAGCACCATAAAGAAGCCAGAGCGACAGATGGGAAAGGGAGAATTTGCAAGATTCAGTCTTTGGATAAGAGCCCACACGCTACAAAAGAGCAGAAGGAGGGAATAATCTGCCTCACCTTCGGAGATGCTTGATCTTAAAATCAAAATATAACACTATTACTCTTAGAAAAATTCTTGAGTAAAACTACTCTTTTTCAGCATTATGTAGAATATGAGATTTCCTGATCACAGGCCTTAAGATTTATGAGCAGCCAGAAAGAAGGCGGTAAACTAGGAAACTTATCAAGAGTCTATAAATGAGAGGTGGGTCCACAGAACATGAGAACAAGAGGGAGACACAGAGAATGACAGGAAGGCAAAGGACTGCCTCAAACATCTCAAGAGTGTCCAGAGTTTTCCTCTGCAAGAAAACAGCTCCTCGCTCAGCTACTCCAGTCAATCAAGTATCTGTAACTGAAGCAGCATTTCTGTGCTATGGATGTTTATTAAACCACTGGAATATTCAAACTGAGACAGACAGACTTCATCAGTAACATTCAGTTAATGCCTTTTAGGGCCCTGTGGATGCAGACATTCCCATACTGATGAGTTTAACACCGAGAAAATTCTGCTCAGATTTTCCAGATCAGATGTCTGTACTGGTGATAGCTCTTCCAAGGCTAAAAACTAAGGAGTCTGATTTTCATATATTTTGAGTATTCAGTGACTCCACAAGAAGCCAGAATGCTACATTTGCAGAAAAAAAAAAAGAAGAAAGAAAAAAAAAAAAGAAAGAAAAAAAAAAAGAAAGAAAAAAAAAAAAAAAAAAAAAAAAAAAAAAAAAAAAAAAAAAAAAAAAAAAAAAAAAAAAAAAAGCACAAAAAAAAAAAAAAAAAAAAAAAAAAAAAAAAAAAAAAAAAAAAAAAAAAAAAAAAAAAAAAAAAAAAAAAAAAAAAAAAAAAAAAAAAAAAAAAAAAAAAAAAAAAAAAAAAAAAAGAAAAAAAAAAAGAAAGAAAAAAAAAAAGAAAATGCCACAATAAAAAATATACTCTTATGACAACAGATAATTTGTTTTGAAGACACACTGAGGCATACAAGCCAGGATTTCAGTGCTCCTTGACAGCAGAGACAGCAGGGGAAAGTTATCACACTTCAAAAATGTACCTCCTTCTTGACATCTAGCCTCCTAAATTAGGGTGCAGCTATCTAGGCTTGGGTTGGATTGACTGTATGTGATCATTACTACAAAGACAAACAATCACAATATTCTCATCTTGCAGCATGTACAGCAATACACAGCACCTCCTCCAAAGCAGATACTGTTTTATGAATTCTGTGTTTCCCATCACTTCATATAACGTCATCTCAGTCTAGATTGAAGTTCCTGCTTATTATATCAAATGACAGAAATCCCACAGACTAGGTAAAAAATAACGCACAGGGAAGAGTAACAAAACAAAAAGGCAATCCTACTCTTAGTACTTGTGATTACGTTTAAAGTCACGCTGATTGGCTAGGTTTAGGAAAAAAAAGAAAACAAAGCAAACTCCACACAATACACCATCATGCACTAGGATCACATTTAGAACTGTATTTTTTATTCTATCAGCATCCTCTTGAAAAACTCTCCAATTAAGGATTCACCTGATACAATAAGTATGATTCATTGAAGACTCATTCCTCATTACGATTATCATTCATTTGCTATGATTCATCGAGACAGTAGAGTGACTGTTTAAAGACTTGGTAACAGCCACTACTCTTCCTCAACTCGCCGTTCCCTTCAAAATATAGATACATTTGTACTCATTTTAAGAAAATGAAAAAAAGAAGGTTCTCACCCTGAGCTGTTTCCAGACCAAAACAAGGAACAATAAAGTCAAGGTGGACAATTCTGTGCACACAGGTGTTTGCAAGTGCGCAGATGAGCAGCCCTGTGACAAGGAGGAGGTGTCCTAGAGAGATAGTCCTTAACTGTGTGCCTAAAGCTCACCCTGCTTAACTGCATAAATGGCACAAAAGGGCATGAGACTTTATTGGAAAGGGAGCAACCTATAAACTCTGTAACAGCAATGGCGGTGGAGGAAGCATAAGCAAGAGGAGATAGACTGGTGGGAAAAAAAGGCATTGGAGCTGAAGGAAAGCGAGGACAAGTACAGAGATCTATAGGAAAAGCTCTGCTGGGTCAAACAACGCAGACCAGTAGCAACTTGGCAGACAGATCTGAGATTCACCATGCAGGACTCTGCCCAAGCAAGCAGATAGTGCTCCTCAACCACTCTTCATTTAAGAACCTCCCAGTTAAATTTTTCCTCACCACCTTGGTGTCCAGTTGGTCAGATCATTAGTTCATATGCTAGCAACCCCAAGAAATCAACATGTCTATGGTAATTTGTCCATTCGAATAAGGAAAAGGTATCGCACAAAGTTCAAAAACCCTCTTCATTCTAGGAAACCCATATACCTGCATGTCACAGAAAAAGTTTTAAATATAATAATGAAAAATAGTTTCCTATTGCAGTGGCCCCTGCAGATTTTCACACTGCACTCACTGTACTTTGGCTTTTAGTGTTTCCTATCAAAAAAGAAAACTCTAAGATTTATGAGACAAATTAGATGATTCTAAAACTCTAACAAGTTTTGTACAAGTTTTATCATCTTTAAATCAAAACGTTGGAATAGGACACAGCTGCTTTGAGTTTGGAGGACTTTGATTTGAAAATATTGAAAAGTTGACCTTTCCAGCTAAGATTCTAACTGAATCTCTCCAGTTAAGAGGAGTTTTACACCCTTACAAGACAAGGAAGTATTAGCAGGTCTAGTTTATGGACAGGCACTCCCAGGCACAGACAAATCAAGCAGACGGATCCGAGTCTCATTTTTGTCACTGAACTTCCTTCCCACACAGCTGCCTGACGATGACGGGCTTGGGGAACAGAGCTGGCTCAACCCACCAGTGCCCAGGAAGGAAGGGCTGAGGGGCAGAACGAGCCTCTTCACAGCGGGGCAGGATGGCAGGAGAGGAGATACGAGGTGTAAGCAGAAATGAGTTTCATACTGGGTTTTCCCTTAAACGTTTTCTCTAGAAGAAAAGTCATTCTTTGGAAGCAGTGGTCCAGAGCTGCGTGATCTTCATCCTCTGAAATTTTCAAGGCCCAGCTGGACAGACTCCGGAACAATCTGCTCTGCTCCCGCAGCT